ATTGTCAAGTAATAAAATAATTCGCAGTCTATTAGATATTTCTTCCGAAATACTAAATAGGCGTAGATGAATTTGAATAATAGTAATAAATTTTTTAGAATTAATAATTAAAAAAAATACAAATTGTCAAGTAATGAAATAATCGGCAATCTATTAGATACTTCTACCAAAATACTAAATAGGCGTAAATGAATTTGATTATTAGTAATTAATTTTTTAGGTTGAATATTTAAGAGATTTTTAGGTTTACTTAAATTTTATTTAAGTTAGATTTGAGTAGTAATACTCATCGAGAGAGAAGGAGGTTGGGGGTGTAAAAGAGATTGAATTAATTTTGATTAAATTATATTAACAAATAGCCTTGATCTTATTAATTTCTCTTTCGTTGATAATAGATTTGGATTGACCTCTCTCTTTCTCGAACCCCCCAGTTCAGCAACGAATCGCAATGAAAACGATCAATCCAATTAAAACAACAAGGTTTCCATGTCTATGTTCCATTTGCCTTTAATGTGTTGGTTCCCTGATTACTCGTTAAAGTGCAATCGTCGAAATGCACTTTTCTCAAACTCGGGTGAAACTTTTCAATTAAAGAAATTGTAATGGAATTAAATGAATCTGTTTACCAAACGAGAGTTATATTATCTGCAATTCTTTTAAATTAATTAGAAAAAATTCTTTTGATTTTGATAAAATTTATTATTTTTAACTGTAATTAATAGTGACTGACTTTTTGGCTCGCTTTTTGTTTTTAAATTAGTAAATTTTACTAATAAAATGCGTAGAAATTACAATGTGTTAATAAAATTTACTAACTCAAAAGCAAAAAGTCAGTCACTAAATCAAATTAGTAAATATTTTTACTATAATTCAAATTTAGAGACTACTAAAAGTATTGTAATGACAACAACTACAGAAATTTGAAAGAAACATAAATAAAGAAAAATGTTCTTTAGTTTATTTTAACTTCATGTGAATACGAAGAGAGGGCTATAAAGAAAACTTTGGGAAATTAAGAAAGTGTATATTTTTCTACGTAACAAGTGCTTTTTAAGGGTGGATTTTTTTAACCTTGTCAACATGTCTCATTTTCATTTGAAAAACTGTATTTAACCCCTGAGCAGAAAAGGAGTTTAGGCGTGTTTATGTTTGTTCAGGGAATTAGCCATCAGGAATTTGTTCACCCTCTATAGTCCTGGTATTAAATGTCGAAAGCTGACAAGCAACACTATTATATCTATATACGAACGTCCCACACATGAATATTTCCTATTGCTAAATACTTCTTATAAAACATGTCACTCAAAATCGTTTCTATTCATTGAAAATGAAATTTATTTTTTATATACATCTATAAATTATGTAAATTTTCGCGTACAGGCCTTGGATAGTTCTATTACATTACAAATTAAAGTTATAAATTATAAATGTAATTAATATAATATAAAGATAATAAAAATATAAAAATTATTTAAAAATTTTAAATTATATTAAAAAATTCAACTTTTTCGCAGAATCATGAATTTTCATATTTGCAATTAAAATTCTTTAAAAACTTGATTATTTTATTATATATATATTAAACACTTTAATTCTATAACAATTTCGTTAAATGAAAAGTATATAAATATAATTGAAATTTAGGAAATAATCTTACCACCTAACAGAGAATGCGCAAAATAATTAGAAGAATATATTCGAAGAGAGGTTTGAAGAGAAATTTTCGGAAACAGGTTCCTATGTGTATGTGTGTGTACACTATAGTTTATATATACAATTCTATTTTCTGAAGGGTGGTATGAGAGACTTTGTGAGGAAAGGGGAGATGAAAATGGGGAAAACAGTGGCTGGTGAGTGAAACTGGTTTGAGGGGGGAGGGGGAGGTTGGTTGATACACAAGGGGCCCATGGTCGTGTATGCTCTGGTAATTGCGAGCTCTATGTAGATCCACTTACAGTGATTAAAAACTGTCCTGCTGAGCATCATCTCCAACTGCCGCATGCGCCTCTCCAGAACCGAGAATAAACTGAAACTGTTGCTATATAGAGTCGTCGAAAATCATCTTCGTTTCATATTTCTACTACAATACGACGGTATTAGTATAGCAATCCGCCAAAAATTTCCTCGCTTTCCTTTAGTTACACATTAAACACACTTCCACTCCATGCTCTTTTTCTTTTTCCACTTTTATAACTTATCTTTTGATTTTTTTTTCTATTTTCATACCTTATTCGCTTGCTATTCCTCTTCTTCCTCGGCTTTTTTTTCAATTCGAAAATTTTGGTTCCGACATTTTGAATTTTGAAAAACTAATTCCGGATTCATAATCAGCGACCCCAAAAACCCCCGAGCAAAAAGTTTTTAAAAAATCGTCCGCCATATTGGATCCGACATTTTGAATTTTGAAAAACTGACTACGAATTCGTAATCAGCGATCTCAAAAACCTCCGAGTTTATAATTCAAGGGAATTTATTTATAAACATTTTTTTTCTATTTCTTTTTTATAAATTTGTTATTTTATCTATACCTTTCCTTGAATCAAATTTTTCAATTTAACAAGCAATTTTTAATTTATCTAGAATTTCGGTATACCAAGTTTTATAACAATTGGTGATCACAACTTGGGTATAGTGTTACTTGTAAACCTTATTTTTATCCGTGATACAATTTTTCATAATCGTATAGAAAATAGAAATCGTATAGAAATACTTCTAGGTTCCATAAATAATTTCGCATTTAGATTTGCAATATTAGTCAATTCTTTTAGGTGGTTGAAAAATTTGTCTTCATGTCAAACAGGATCTTTTTCTTTATGGCAAGTGAATCTCAATTCCAGAGGGAGAAGGAAATTGTTCGTTTCACAAGACCCTTATATTGTCAGCTTTCTAAATTGGCTGGATCGATTCGCACAAGTGAATTCAATTCTTCTTTTTTGGTGAATTAATTTTTCCGTCTTTCAAAAAATAGGCATTTGAAAAATTTTGATGTCTAGAGGCTTTTGCGGCTTTAGAGAAAAAAATCTTATTATATATTAAATGACAATTCTATATCCAAAAACAGAAAATCACCTCTTTCAACTTCTGAATGAATATTCCCAAGGCGTGTGAATTATAAAAATTGTAAAAAATTTAGTCTAGCGTAAAAAAAAAAGAATTTCGATAAAAATTTTGTTGGCTCTGATCCGTGATGTGTGTGTGTGTACGGCAAGAGCAGAGGCAACGGCAGCAGTGTGGCAGCTGATAAAAATCCAATAGCCGTGTTTGTCGTCCGGAAAGGGCAATCACGTTCATCATGGAGTCCTACGTTCTAAACCCCCCCTTCCACCTTGAAAGCATCCCTCTCTATCCCTTTGGCCCTCGATTCCTCCTCTCGATTCCATAGTCGACAGAGTTGAACTCTGTAGCCGCCCATGTGCTGCAGAGGGTGGGTCGGGAGAATTCACGTGCAAATACGCCACTGGTCAGACAAACGTTAAAGCAAATAAATCCGCTACTTTAACATGCAGGTCACCACGCTTCCGTTTGTTTTATTTGTTAAATATTTCATTTGCCGGCTTCAGCCAATTACGATCGCAGATTTTACGCTCTGACGAGAGCCCTATATAGCGGAAAAAAGATAAAATAGAGTGAGCGAGAGAGAGAGAGAAAGAAGGACGACAAGTGATTGGACATGGTATTTTGGTTCAAAATATAGTGAAAACACGAAAAGCAAACAAAATGAGAGGGAAAAAAAAGATCGGACCTGATTCACGTTTAAATTTTCACAAATTGCCTCATTAGCACTGAAATTGATATAAAGGTTTTATTTTATTTGGATGGAAAATAAACGCCCTTTGCTTCATTTTCGAGTTAAATATATAACAAGTTCCGGTTGATATAGCTAATTTTAAATATATTTCCGATTTAATCGTCCAATTAAAAATCTGGGCTCTCGAGAAGCTTGTATTGCAAGTTTCCTGATTATTGTCCTCTATGCGACGTAAGATTTCGAAATCAAATTGTCCGCCAAAAAACAATTTCAGCAACGAACTTTAGCCTATGTGAATATTCGGATAATTAACATTTAGGACCAGCAGTTAAAAGAAAAATTAATTTTATAACTTGTAGAAAAAATTTAAATACTTTTTTCAAATCGAAAATTTCTATTTTTTCCCTCTATCCATTGAAAATTAATTTACGCGAAAGTATATATTCGAATTTGATAATAAATTACACACAGCTCGTTGCAATTTATCGAAGCGATGCGCAAAATTATGTAACTATCTGTTTGATCACAAACTAACGAACAGAAATCGAACTTCATATCTGTATATCGCTTTCCATTTATAAATATATTTATATACATACAAAACGGAAAGCGAATTTTAAACACACGAATTATTCGATCGAATAAATAATGGAGCAATTTTTCTGACGTTACTTATATTTTAAACATTCTGCATTCAATAATCTACAATTTCTGTTATTTCAGAATTAATTTCCTCTCTTTTATTGTTTTTATAGTCTCAACTATTATTATTTGTCATGTAATGTGAGTATTTCGGTAGAAATATCTAATAGGCTGCGAATTATTTTATTACTTGACAATAAGATTAATCGATAAATTTTTTGATTCTAAAAAATTTATTACTAATAATAACCAGATTTAGTATTTCGGTAGAAATATCTAACAGGCTGCGAATTATTTTATTACTTGACAATAAGATTAATCGATAAATTTTTTGATTCTAAAAAATTTATTACTATTAATAACCAGCTTCATCTACACTTATTTAGTATTTCTGTAGAAATATCTGACAGTAATTTTTTAATTTCTTATTAATAGTTTATCGCATGATGACACTGACTGCTATCAAGATAAATACTATTACCTCTTTAAACATAACCTGAAGCTTTTATTTTTTTAAAAAGTTTACAATTTTATTGAATTTCTCAATTGTTGTTAGACATTTGTTTGATATTAAAATTAGTTTGTTATTATAATTATTTGTTGTTTGCAGGTGTGGTTTCAAAATCGTCGAGCGAAATTCAGGAAACAGGAGAGACTTGCCCAGCAGAAATCGACGTCGCATGGCGGAGTGGGAGTGGACAGTGGCGCTTCGAGTCCAGTTGCGGGTAATGTGAAGACTGAGGGACGCTCACCGAGAAGTCCAGAGACGCCGCCAGGTGGCTCAAATAGTGTTCTCTCCTCGACAGAGGTCAAACCAATCACAAGTCATAGTTTAGTTAATATAAAACATTCAGATGGACATGGTGAGGGTAGTTCACCTAATGGCAGGGGGATCGTCAGCACTGGCGGCGGAGTTGCATGGGGCTCATGCAGTCCAAGACCATTTTCCGCTGCCTTGCCGTCCTACTTACTCGATCCCATACCCCTAAAAACTGCGAATTTATATTAAAATATCGACCCGACGATTTTAAACCCATTGTGTAAATAGAATACTGTGTATGGTTGGTTGCTGTGAATGGAATTTAACTCGACGAATTTTGTTACTTTAGAAACGGGTTTAAAGATACAGGGGACACAGGTAACTGCTTCCTGTTGTCCTTCCTTGCATACTTTTATGAAAACTGTGGCATTTCTAACATTATGTTATTAGTTCATGGCAGAATTTATAATTTTAGTCACGAACTAAGAAGATTCTGATAGAAATGACACGCGGTTTTCAGAAAGACGTACTAACCGAAAGGATAGCATTTATACAGTTACCTGTAATTACCAAGAATTAAGGCCAATGCACAATGGTTCGCGCACGTGAGCAATAAGTCAAACAAGGACAGACATATATTTGTGTCCTTTTCTATTTCATGCATCGTATTCGCAAGTCTATTGTGCGTTGGCCTTTAGACTTTTGCGAACTTATTGTGTTCAGACCTTTAGAGAGTCCGCCATTTTGAAATCCTAAAGTCAAATATCAAATTCGTGAATATCAGTGACTCCAAAGAAACTTCGACTAGTCAAATGTTTTGTTACACTCCCAACTGATTTTTTTATCATCGAATACAATATTTTGAAAACCAGCAAGCATCAGAAAATTTTGTTTAGTTAAATTTTATCCATTTTGTACCATCAAAGGTGGAGTATTCGGCGAAATAAAAATCACTAAAACAGGTAATTGTAAGTCACTTTTTTCCGCAAGGCAAAAAGTATCATTAATTATTATTATTTATTTATAATGTTCGGTTACTATGCTAAAGGACGTATAACCAAAGAAAAATAATTTTATAATCTAGATATAATTTATCACAAACATTACTGCTTCAATGGCGCGACAGTTGGAAATTAAAATCATTAAGATTGTTAATTAAAATCAGAAAATTAACAATTCGCTGAATTACTCCCCCGTTGATGATAAACCGAATAAGGTTACCTATGATTAAGTATATCATTGTGTGTGACCGAAACTTGTACAGTTGTTGCTATAAATATATAAAATTAGTGTTTTACATCATAACTGTATTTATTGTTCCTCCTTTATTAAATTTTAGTTTTTTATTTTGCTTTTTCGTTACAAAAGATTTTTTAAAAATCGATTATTTTAGAAAATTAAAATTTTTATTTCTGAAAAGCAAGCAAGCAATCCATGGTTCCAAACGACACTATCTCAACTCTGGCGCATGCTGTATTTCTGTTGAAACTCCTCCGCCATATTGGATCCGTCATTTTGAATTTTGAAGAAAGTATCGGATTTGTAGACGAGGACCTCTAGAAACTATAAACAATTTGCAACGTCCAACAAGCAATTAAACTCAAAATACCAAATGTTTATCATTTTCGTGTTCCATTGATGTCCAAAACAAATATATTGTTGCGGAAGATTAAAATTAAATTGGAAAAAAAGTTAATTATCAAAAGCAGGATTCGCATATTTTCGACGGGATTGTCAGTCATTTAGATTTTATTTAATGATATATTTATTTAAAATAATATCGCTCTCGTTACGTAGTTACATGATAGTATCCTATATCTTGAATAAGTAAATTTGATCTCGTACTTTTGAATCGCGAATTCTATTCCCTGTGAAAGAATTTAAAATAAGTGGTACAGTGAAAATACGCGAAATCAGAAATTTTGAATCAGAAAATTTCCGATATACACCATACCTATTAGTGAAACAATGAAATAATTCGCGATACCAAAAATCGTATTTACCTGAATATGAGAATAATGCAAAACTACTAGTTTTCAGAAACTTCAAAAAGTTTTAGAAGTTTTACATTATTTTCTAAAAATTACTGCGTCATATTCTGCAGAATAAAATAGAATTATGAAAGAAGGAATTTGTTATTCGTTTTGTTTTCGTCTTTCGTAAGCATAAGTTTGGTAGATTTTTCATTCTTTTTGACGCTTGTCGAAATGATTAAAGTTGATGAAGTTAATTAATGTTTCGTCGTCTGAATAGACCGTTGTTTGGTGGTCTAATCTAATCTTACAGTGTAGCTTAATAACTAGGCCATCGTTAGTGTACCCGCTCCCATTCCAAATCCAACTCCCTTTGGACCGAAATGTTTGCCATAACAGCCGCGACAGTAAATATCGCCATCGGGTCCATCGTTGAGATTCGTCGAGTCAAGTGAACGATGACAATCGCCACAGCTAAAGCATCTCTTGTGCCAAACTCTATTTTTAGAGATCATTTGCTCAGCGGCGTAAACTGGATAGCCACAGCGAGAACATCCATGACCATCGTTTCGCTTCTGACCGAGTTGTGGTTTTGAGTCGATACTAAAAGAAAATGTTACGTTCATCTTTGAATTTTTTTTCTCTTTTGCTTCTGTGATAGAGAAAGTATAGTATTTTTTAGGAAATATATTTTTATCAGAGGAGGATTGGCAAATACTCACTATGAGGGACATTGATCACCGTTTGTTGAGACAAGAGTCGGAGCGTGACCGAATCCGAAACCTTTGGGTCCAAACAATTTACCATAACAGGCACGGCAGTGGATCTCTTTGTCTGGACCATCGCAGGCTAGCATTGAGTCCAATGGTCGATGACATTCGGCGCAATTGAAACATTTCTTGTGCCACATTGTGCCTTTGGCGAGTTGCTGTTCTGCGGCGAATACCATACCGCCACATCGTGGACATCCCTGACCAGCTGGTGCTTTGATGGATGTCGTGTCGGGATTGCAGAATGGGCGGCTGGACGAAATTTCATCTTCACTGCAAGGCGAATTTCAAAAACATTAGATTCCACTTATGACACGTTTTACTAAAAGAATATCAGAACTCTAGGTTTTTTGAAAGTAATAGGAGTCCTCTGGACTACTATTGCTTTTGAAAAACCTAGAGTTCTGCTAGGTTTGTCCTGCAGGTTTTTCAAAAAGAATAGGAGTCCTCTGGGATTTCCAAAAGGAATAATAGCCCTACAGATTATTCTAAAAGATTAGGAGTCCTTTAGGCTACCCTAAAGAAATAGAAGTCCTCTAGGATTTCTTAAAGGTATAGAAGTCCTACAGGTTTTCCTAAAGGATTGGAAGACCAGCAGGTTTGTTAAAAGGACTGGAATTCCATTAGGTTCCTCTAAAGAATTAGAATCGTGCGGGTTTATCAAAAGGATTAGAAGTACTCTAGGTTTTTCAAAAGCGACAAAAGTCCGCTAGGTTTTTCTAAAAGAATAGAAGTCCTACAGGGTTTCCTAGAATATTAGAAGACCTCTAGGATTTCCTTAAGGAATAGGAGTCCTGCAGGTTTTATTAAAGGATTGGAAGACCCGCAAGTTCTTCTAAAGGATTAGAAGTCCTCTAGGTTTTGCTGAAGGAATAGAAGTCCTCTAGGTTGTTCTGGAGGAATAGAAGTCTTACAGGTCTTTCAATAAAAATAGAAGTCTTCTTGGTTTTCCTAATGGAATAGAAGTCCTGCAGGTTTTCCTAAAGGATTGGAAGACTTGCAAGTTTTCTAAAAGGACTGGAATTCCAGAAGGTTTCTCCTAAAGTATAACAACAACAAAACTAAAATAAAAACTCACGTGAGTCCATCGGTTTGCAAGAATCCAGAACCGCAAGCAAATCCATAACCATGAGGTCCCCATTTCTTTCCGTAACAAGTTTTGCAGTAAACATCTTTATCGGGACCATCGCAAGCGATAATTGAGTCTAGTGTTTTGTTGCAGTCCCGACACTTGAAGCATTTTCTGTGCCATTCACGGCTCTTTGCCAAGACTTGTTCAGCTGCAAAGACTACACCTCCACACCGAGGGCACCCTTTTCCAGGAGGGGCTTTGATACTTGCAGTATCGACAACAGTCGTATGAGGAGCAGCATCACTGCAGAATTCCAAGCAATTTAATACCATAATCTTTATCCTTTTCCAAAAGTTACAAAAAATATCAAAATATTTTAGAAAAGTTCAAAACTTTTATGAACACTCTCATTTCATATTTCGGTTTTGGGTCAAGAAGACTACAAAATTTCTCTATTATTCTAAAATTTCTCTCGTACCAAGCGGTACAAAGAGACCAAAGTTTTTCTGAACTTTTCCAAATTAACAAAATTGTAAAAATCCAAACAGTCTCACTGCATGCAAACACATCTTTTAGGTTACGGTTAAAGCTCTGCTTGCAGGTTACCATGGTAACTTACAAGAGGGAGAGATATAGGAAATTGTTTTTATCTCTCTTCCTCTTCTACCTTACCATGGCAACCTGTATGCTGAGTCATGACCATACCATTAGGGATTAGATATTTAATTAAAATCAAAAAATCCGATCGTCAACTCTCCATTAAACGAAACTAAACAGTAATTCATCCCAAAATAAAATTTCTAAGTTTTTGACAAAAAAAAAAGATCAATAGTTCCACTGTGAAAACTGTAAAAAATCAAAACATGCGAAATTGGGTGTTCAAAAATAAGAAAAATTGGAACAGTTCGAAAATTTTAAAATAGGATGTCTGATTAATAAGGAGTGGGTGAGTAAGAGCGCAAAGCGTTATGCTGAATTAGAAGAGAGAAAAAAAAGAGGTTTTTTGTAATAAAGATTAATTAGGGGATCGTACCCCTCGTCGTCAATATCGCACTGCAGCCCAATGAACATGACACCGGCGTGGCCAATACCTCGCGGACCGAATTTCTTTGGATAGCAAGCTGTTAAGCAAATAAGCGCATCATATAGTGAGAGCGTAGAAAGGCCGAGAGACGGGTTTTATTTTCTTTTTCTCATCATTTTTTTTTTTGCCCATTTCTCAGCTTTTTAAAAAAACCCACCCATTGGCGTAGCAATCGCTCTGCAAGGCGCCACCACCCTGGCCGTAACCGTAACCCTTAGGTCCAAACTTCTTTCCGTAACATACTGCAGAGAATATACATTAACTAATCGTCGCTTATCATCAGCTACAACGCCATCAAAGATGTGATATCCCATTTTGAGGTTATGCTGTCCTTCCGGTTATGCTGTCTTTCTGGCTTTACAATTTCAAAAGCGTAGCCTTTCTATAAAAATCCTATTAGTTCATGGCAAATTTGGTGTGGTTTTAGGTGTTTGCCTATTCGCCACGAACTAATAAGTTTGTAACCGAAATGCTACGAAAAGAAGGCGCTAACCGAAAGGGCGGCATACAAGCAGTTACCTGTACTTTTACAAGTGTGACAACCCCTTAATGTACAAGCAAGTGCATATATGCTGTCCTTTCGTTTTAATGGAATTTTCAAGTCGTGTCACTTCTATCAAATCTTTTTAGTTCGTGGCGTACGAATGTTTACTCATTTGTCATGAACTAAAATCTTTAGACAGAAATGACACGACTTTTCAAAATTCCGTCAGACCGGAAGGACAGAATATGTACATTTGGGTGTAATGGTAACTTTCATGACTCTAGGGGGACTATAGATGACGATAGTCATTTCTAAACTTTACCCAGTATCAAAATAAGAAAAAATATTATTAAATAGGTAATAATAATAATAATAATAATAATAATATTAATAATAATATATAAATAAAAAATAAGTTAAATAACTGAATCGGCATATCACATCTTCCTGGAAAATAGCCTTAGGATGATCTCACCTTTGCAATAGATATCCTTGTCAGGCCCTTCGCAGCAGTTAACCGAGTCTAATCGCTTGTTGCAGTTCCCACATTTAAAACATTCCTTGTGCCATTGCTACACGAGACACAAAGGGGTAATTTTGTTAGTCACTGAAACTTTTTTTGGAAATTGGCGTGAAGGGAATTTTTTTTTATAAACATTCTTTTATTTCTAACCCACTTATTAACAGTTCAGAATGAATTTTCAATTTATGCTACATATTAGGAATGTACAATCATCAATATCAAACAACTCCTACTATCATTACGAAACATATACCGGTATTAAAAAATTAATCAACAATCTGATTATTTTTGAAAATTAAGTGGAGGGGATTTTGTAAAAAAATTAATTAACTTAATTGCCATTAGGCCAAAGCAGAATATAACCTCTAATCGTAAACTTTTACTTGAGAGAGAAAAGGATATTTGTCTCTTTTCCTTTTCCCTGCAATGGAAAAAATTACAATCTAGGTTTAAAGGCCAACGCACAACACGAATGACGTTCGCGAAGACAAGGCATTCAGAAAAGGACAGATGTATATTTGTGTCCTTTTCTATCTCATACTCGTTCGCGAACGATTTTCGCGAAGCTATTGTGCATTGGTCTTTATTCTGCATAGGCGTATGAATGTGGAATCCCTTTAAGGCTGAGTCTACAATGAAGTCTTTTAGTCAACGGGTCAACATAACCTAAAGAGTCTCCATCGTGGATTGAACCCCAAACACATTTATTAACACCAAAAAGAAGTTAATAGTTCTAGTTAGAATCCATAGAGTTGAATTTATAACCAACAAAAGTTAATTTTACTGGAAATGAGGGAAGGCGTCGAAATATATACGAAAATAAACACTTTGCGCTTGTGGCACACTAGGTGTATGGCAGTACAAGAACTAGGGGTTTTTTTTCCCAAAGGAATCATTTTTAAGGTTTTCTAGTCTGTTTTTGTTTTTTTTTCTTTCAGGGAGAATATAGAATTTAGTGGTGAAACAAAATGAATCCACAATGTCAGAAAGTGGATCAGAAGGGATAGACAAGAGTTAAGGACGAAATTATGGTGGATTTTCATTGAAAATACAAACTAAAGGTAGATTTTTGAGACGAAAGGTACCTCGACAATATATTTGGTTATCGGGACCATCGCAATGAAGCGTAGAGTCCAGGGTCCGCTGACAAAGTTTGCACTTGTAGCATTGTTTATGGTAACCCTAATCATAAGAAGCAGCAATGACTACAGGCAGCTTTGATCGCCTTGCCTCTTTTTTTGCCTTCTAATACGGAAACCGGATTTCTTTTTTTCGTTCCCAACCCTGATGCCACGATTCATGTATATTTTTCATTCATATATTTATTTTTTTAATTTATTCATTTTTATTTCATTTCATTTGAGAATTAGGAAAAATTTCTCTTAAAGAATATAATATAGTCTCCATAGAAAAAAAATACAGGTAACTGCTTATATGTTGTCCTCTTGGTTTGCATACATTTTTTTAAAAACCGTGTCATTTCTACTGTTACTAGTTCGTGGCAAACTTGTTTATTATTTTAGCCATGAACTAAAAATTATAGTAGAAATGACGTTGGCAAACTGTAAGGATTGCATATATGCAGTTACCTGTATATATCTCCAAAAGTAATAATTGACCTCTATAATTTCGATCAGGGGTGTGTAGCCAGCAGTCCAATTTAGAAGAAAAGGCTCGAGGAGACTTTAACCTAAATCGCTTGTCGTAATTTCCAAAAGTCGTGTCGTTTCTGTCAAAGCATTTTTTTAGTTCAAAACATAAGAGTAAGTAAACATTTGTTACGCCACGAACTGAAAATTGATAGAAATGACACGACTTCAAAATTTCGTCAAACCGGAAGGACAGCATATATGCATTTCAGACGTAAAGGCCAATGGACAATACTTTCGTGAAAACTCGCCAAAGAAATAGAAAAAAACGCCTTGATCATAATTAAGAATTCCGATCTAGTTTTTTTCCCCCACTATTACCAACTAAAGAAATTAACCACTAGTACCACAATTATAATACTTTGGACAAAAAATAAAATTAGTCACTCTCCCTTCAGAGAGGGGGAAGGGGATTACATTAGATAGAGGAATAGATAACTATTTTTGGAGGTAACTTTCTCTCTCTCTCTCTCTCTCTCTCTCTCCCACCACCTTCTCTAAGAATCCGTACATCTCACACTAAATTTGGGAATAAATCCGACATTCGTAACGGAAATTGAAACTTGAATTAGAGGGGAAAATTGAATTAAACTTGGATTAGTAAATCTGTTCTAAAGAGATAATGTCGAAAATTATATAAACGCTCCAACCTGAGAATCGGCAAAGCGTGGAAGGTTGTGAATTTTTAAATTTCATAACTAATATAGAATAAGAAGAGTTTATTTCCAAAGTTGAATAATAATTATTTTGTTATTAAATTATGGGACATTTATTGCGACAAGAGTTTTCCGCTTTTGATGATAATACCAATAATAATCATCATTATATTGATGGAAAATGAAGGAAATTTGTTAGCTGATGCTATATATGTGCGGTAATTAGCGTCATTTTGAAATTAATTTCATAGTATATGCGGACAGTTTATTTTACATCATAACTTCTTTAAGGCGAGAATGGTGTTGGCATGAGTGCCAAGTGTAATGCCGGGTTACTTTTTGGGACGCTACCAAAGGCAACAAGGGGCTATTTCTACTTTTTTACCCTCCCCCCCTCTCACTCCCTCTATCTTTCTCTCTTCTTTTTTCCCCACTCTCTCTCTCTCTCCCTCTACTAAAGCCACCATTGTTATGAAATTAGGGATTTCATCACCGGTCGCGTCACGAACCACACACACTTGGCATCAAGTCAAAGGGAATTTTACCTAGAATATGATATCCAATAAAACTAGTTATTAATATTTTTAGAAATTCTCAACTATGATCATAATTTATATTATATTGGAAAATATTTTTCTGGACATGAAGCAAAAAAAATAAAAGTGATTTCTCATCGTGGCATCAAGGTAAATGTAATAGAGCGAATTAGTGTTCTAAAATTTTCCGGTAAAATAAAAAAACCCGAAGAAAGGTATAAAAGAAAGAAAATTAAGGTAAATTACCGATAGCAAAATTTTTGTTTTTCATGTTATTTTTAAATGCAGTTTAAAAATAAATATCGCAAAGAGGAGTTATATGAAATTGTAAACTCTCACTTTACGTGAGAGAGAAAAGGATAGAATTATCACTCGTCCTCTTCTGTTTCGTGTATAGTTTTTGTTTAACGGTTTTTTTTGTGTATTTTAAATTAATGGTGATTCTGCAATGATACTTTTTTAAGTATTTATCAGCTTTTTTACGATTTGCTACTATTTGTCATGATAATAATAATGTATGATAAAAATTTTGAGGTTAACGATCACTCCGAATCAAAATGACTTGGAGTGATCGTTAACCTCAAAATTTTATTTATACATTAAAAAGAAATTTTTAATCGAAATAAATATCACAAACATAACCTATAATTCGTTTGCCAAATCCTAAATCAGTAATATTTATGTGAGATAAAAAAGAATAGAAATATTTTTTTTTTGCACGTAAAGTAAAGTCCTTTTTTCAGAATGCGACATTTTGGTTTTAACAGATTCTAATTATTGGAAATTTTTATAAATTCTCTAAAAAAAAAAAATCAGTCGGTAATTTACCGTAATTTTCCACTTATTTCAAGTAAATTACCGTCTTTAGAACACTAGAGCGAATCCGGTAATTTTTTTTTTGCGACTTAAAAATACTCACCCTTCCACGAGCCAGCATTTGTTCAGCGGCGTAGACATAACCTCCACATCTGGGACATCCCTGACCCTCTGGAGCTTTTGCAATTGCTCTTGATTCCATCACTGCATTCGATATTCTTTCACTAGAAAATACGGGATTAATGTAAAATTTTTAATTTTTTATATTTTTAAAAAAAACACACGTGAACTGTGTAGAATTAGAATCACTTGAATTTCATATTCAGAAGAAGAAAAATTAAAAAAATTTTTTAAAAAAAGTTTAAAAACCAAAAATTTTTAAAATTGTAAAAAGTTTATTGCTCACTGTTCACGTGTATTTTGGTTTTTTTCTCTCAAAAAAAATATACAATAGAAAACACTAGACAGACTTTCACAAATAAAGACGATGCTTTGGATGACAAAGAAATTTGTTTCCAATTCCACTTGGAATTCCATAACTTAGATTTAGAAATGAATTCAAAACAGATATTTTTTTATGGTAACGAAAAATAATTTCAAAATCTAAATTAAATTTTGTTTTAACTATTAAGACTGCAGACATATGTAAGCTAAGTCAAAATTTTCCATGAGAGTGTGAAGGATAGTGCCATCTTGCATCCTTCTTCACTCATGAAATTATGGTATTCCCCTATTCACACAGTTCTGCATTCTTAACATCAAACCCTTTCCACAATAGTTTCTCGCGAACAAAATACACGAGTTAGAAAAGGACAGCGACGTACTTGTGTCCTTCACTATCTCATGCATCACTTTCACGAACATATCTCGTATTGGAATTTTTCACCATTTTCGTTTGTACATCTTCAGCATTTAATAAAAGTGCACTACAATAAAAATAGGCTCAAAAAAGACAGAAAAAACAAAACAAAAAAAAAATGTAGAGAAATTAAGAAAAAAAAGACCCGTAGAATCACTAGTAAAGTGGGTCGAGACACTATAGACACTATAGAGTTATCAAATAAGACAGTGGTTAGGCACATGTTAGTAAGGTTAGTAATCCCCAACCACACGAGTGGCTTCCGCCGAGCCCCGAGAGAGGAGAGCCGAGAAGCAGATAATTGGTACGTCCAATTAAAAAAAGAAAAAAAAGAAACAGATAGATAGATAAGAATGAACGATTGCTGGAGAGCCTCGAGAATAATTCAACTATTGTCAAATATTATTTATTGATAAACATTTTTTGCAATTTTCTTGTACCATTTCTTGCTTTGCCTTTCTGAGTTCTATACTCATTTCGCATAACCTCAAAATTTCACAAAAACTTCAAAAAAAAAACAATTTATAAAAAAGCGAGCAATTTTTTTTTTTGAGGTTATGTTAATGAGTAGAAAGTAATTTTTTTTCTTAGTTCTTTTTGCGTATTATATAAATGTCATGAGAGTTATTTTCAAAATGTGTTCATGAACCTCATTTAATTCACGCAGCTTCTGCTAAAATTGGATCGATTCCAGTTTAGCGCTTGCTTGTAAATTTAAATCGCAATTTGCCAATTTATTGACTCTTGACAGTGCAGGTGGCCCAATTTCACAAGGTTCTCCCCCCCTATTTCACTAAGGTCACTATTTTCGGAATTTACACTTTTTGTCTAATATTAAATTACTATTATTAATTAAATTATTCATTAATAGTAATAATTTAATTATTAATTGAATTAGTTAACATTTATTAAAATTATTTTTTAATTATTTATTATTTTAATTATTGTTAAAAATAATTGACTTTTTTTATTTCGTTTTTTCTATCAATTACACTAATTCTACGATTGGAAAGAAGTGCCTTTGTAAATAGTGCAAAATTTACGATAGCAACCCAACCCTGTCTATAAAAAGGGATTTCCCCTCATTTTGACTGTTCTGAAAAATGCTTTTTAGCCTTTATGGTGATTCTACAATAACCATTTTTATATCACTTTCTGGTACTTCTACAATAAATATTTTTAATTTTTAATGGTGTTTCTACAATCAGTATTTTTATAGCCCTTTAAGGTGCTTTTACAATAAAAATTGTAAAAGCACCTTAAAGGGCTGTAAAAATGAATATTTTGATCATAAGGGTTAAAAAAAATTGAAAATCTTACTACGTAAATTGTAAAGTTTACATAAAATGGAAAAGAGTATTTATTTCTTGTAAATTTTACAAATTACGTTCGAAGATTTTAATTGTATATTGGCCTGCATTTACAAGAATTTTTAGTTCACAACGTTCTCACTGCGGGATTTTGACGGTTAGGTGAAAAAAAACTTGTGGAAGTACCATTACGAAAAAAAAATTTCGACCCCTTAAGGTACTTCTACAATTTTTTTTTGTATCGAAATATAGGAAATGCAAAAGAGAAATAAAATTCTATACAAAAATATTTAGTTTAATTCCCAATTTCGTAAAAATACGAAATGCCGAATTAAACTAATATTTTTGTTTCAAATTTTGTTCAAGTCGATGAAAAAAAAATTGGTGAAAGTATCAAGATAGGAAAAAATTTACTCTTAAAGGTACTTCTACAACTATTTTTTTATGGAAAAAAATATGCAGAAGGCAACAATATTCAGCTTGGATTGCATTTTATTCGCGTCGATTGAAAATTTATTGTAAAAGTAGCATTATGGACGGTTAGCATTATTTAACTCTTAAAGGTACTTTTACAATACTTGTTTTCAGCGCAAAAATATGCAAAATGTGAAATGCATTTTCAGTAATTGCCTTCTGTTTAGAAAAAGTAGTAGTAGAAGTGGTAAAAATTTTTTAAATCGTAAAGGCACTTCTACAATTACTTGTTTTGGGAACGCTAAAAAAAATGCAAAAGTAGCTTTCTTTGCTTTCTGTTTTGGAAGGATGATGAAACACTTGTGATGTAGAATTGTACGAAGAGTTTTTAATTCCTAAAGGTCTTTCTACAACTATTTAGTTTTTCGTTTTTAACCCCTAAAGGTCCTTCTACAATTGTTATTTATTTCTTCGTTTTTATCCCCTAATGGTCCTTCTACAATTTTTTTTATTTTTTCCTTTTTATTCCCTAAAGGTCCTTCTACAATTATTATTCAACTTTTCCTTTTTAACCCCTAAAGGTCCTTCTACAATTTTATTTTTAAATTTTTCTCAACGGAATTTTGTAGAAATAATTATCAAGACCTTTTTTTCAACCTTTTGACAATCGTATTCTCTTAATCTCGAGACTATTCAGTATTTTTTTTTATTGCGAGAAAATGGACACAGCTTGCAGTACCATTTTTTTAGGTTAGGAGTTAGCAGGGTTAAGATGTTATAACGAAGAGAGGCCGTGCAGGATACGCAAGGAAGCGACTTCACGCGGGTGGAATACTCGGTGCTCACCATGTTTATTTTCGAGAAATTCTGTGTGTGGGTGTGTGATCAGATTTATCAATCGGCCTCCAATGGCTCGAACTCGGCGGGGCTGGCGGGAAAAGGTGTTTTTTTTTTGGTGGTGGTGGGGGGTGTAAGGTTTCCACAAAACGATTTAATTATGGGCAGCGTATTTTTTTTCACATTTTACTGTGTTATTTATTAATTTAAGATAATTTTTTTTCTCATTTAAGTATAGCACTTAATACAGATGGTACAAATATTTTTTTTTCCTATAACTAAAAAAAATGTGTGTGTGTGTTTTTTTTTGCACGCTTACACAGCGAAGATCATTTTTTTTTTCTGTCACGAATCAAATTTTGAAATCAAATTTTGACTCGTTTCACATTTTTTGTATGTCGATGCATTTGCATCATCTTTCGCATTTTCTTTAACAATAATAATAATTACAAAAAAGAGCTGATGGGATTAATATCATTGTTATGTAGCAAAAAAAAAAGATGTTTTTTGAGGATCACTGAGTAAGAGAGAAAAAGGAGAAATCTCGAGTAGTGATTGACGGTCGGAAAAATGGTTCCACTAATGGTACTTTTACAATAAAAGGACTTTTTCTCACAGTGGATGGGGAAAAAAGTTTTATTGTAGAACGACCCGAGTTTGAAATTCGATGGAGTAGTAGTGTCAGGGTTGGGTCACTAGTGGAAGGGATTCCCCGACAGCCAATTAAGACCGAGATTAAACGGGACAGGGAAGAACTGGATTACCAACGACGTGAGTCCCATTTCCGATTAGGGTATCAAAAAAAGGTATGATTACAAAAAATCCATATCAAATACACAAAAGAGAAGAGGAATTTATAGATTTGAACACAAGATGGCTTCCTGGTAACTAAATAACGCAGTTTTTACAGTTATTATTTAATTTTTAAAAAAAATACCAGGAAGGAATCATGCACGGCTAACAAAAGTTCGTTTCTATTTTTTTTAAAGGGGTTTTGTCGTGGTGTGGGTAAAATATATAAATATAGTGAAAAGGGGGTTTTTTTTAAAGGGGTTGGGGGGCACGACCGCAGGTGCACTCACTCGGAACTCTTGAGGTGCTCGCCTTGATCCATGGACAGGCAACCGGCTCCACCGCCAAAACCGTATCCCTTGGGTCCAAATTTACGTCCGTGACAATTTTTGCAGAAAAGTTCACCTTCGTGTTCGGAGCAGTTCGTTGAATCGAGAAGTTTACTGCAGAGACCTGCGAAAAAAATGTGAAAGAAAAAAAAAACAATAATGACTGCAGTTTAAGAAAAAAGAACGTTAACAATCGCGTGTCTAATTGCACAATGTAAGAAAGTCGAGAAAACCAACGCCCCAGAGAGTTCGTCTTATTCTCCATCTGACGGCGATTAAGGAAACTTTAACTAGCACACATTCTAAACTATCGAGAAATCTATTGCCTCTAATTTTAGAGACCCACTAACTGTATAACTATATATATTTATATAGGCAAACAAATTTTCTTGGCAACAAACTGTCCCTTAATTCTCAAAGACAAATTTAGGTCCAGTAAATTTTCTCTAAATTTGAATTTCATTATTTTTCAATTATTATGAGTCATTTTCACTTTTTGTTATATAAATATCGAATATGGTCATTTTATTATAGAAGCTTTATTTTATAAATAAGCTCTTATTTTATAAATAAACTTTTATTTTATAAATAAAACTTTGAGGTTAATGATCACTTCGAGTCAAATTGACAATTGACAATTGTCAATAAACTTTTATTTTATAAATAAAACTTTGAGGTTAATGATCACTTCGAGTCAAATTGACAATTTTCAATTGTCAATTTGACTCGAAGTGATCATTAACCTCAAAGTTTTATTCACATAAAATTATGACTACAAAAAGTGATAAAATCAGAAAATTACTTTTAATATCTTGTCTTTGTTTGTATTTAATAAATTTATAAAAAAAAAAAAAAAAAAAATATTAAAATTTTTAAAATTTATTTTAAAAAATTTATTTAATTTAATTTTAATTTATTTTTTTATTTTAAATATTTATTTTATTTTTATTTAAAAATTTAAAAATTTGTATTTTAAAATTTAATAAGTTTCCTATTAGACCCGAAAAACTTAAATTGTATTTCTTATTACATGAGAGAGAAAATGATAGAAATATCTTCGGTCCTTTTCTAGAAAAAGTCCAACGATATTTCTATCCCTTTCTCTCTCGCACGTAAAAAATACGACTTCCAATTTGGAGGTTAAATTCAGAAATGTGCATAGAAATTATTTCGAAAATTCTAAAGTGGTGGGAGGTTTAGGGAAAATATTAAAGTTCTCTTATTGAAAAAGGAAAAAAAAATAATATTTTTAACAGTTACAAAATATATTACGATAATATTTAATTATTCTGGTTTATTTGAAAAGTGAAGTTTCTGACTCTCGACTTTCTTGCACTGAAGGTAAATATACAATAAATTAATTGTGAAAACTTATGATTAAATGAAGAGAGGAGAGAAAATTTTCCAATAAAAGATAATAATTCTAATTTTAATAATTAAATTCAATCAATTTTCTCATTTGGTTTCCATGAATATGTATTAAAAATAAATTCGTTTTTTATAACTATTCGAACATCAATCATATTATATGTAAGAAGACATTGACGAGTAATAGTAAATTTAGTTTGTCTAATATTAAAAATAGAAATGTAAATTCTTGGTGTTAATTAAATTAACAATTTATGTTACATAATAGAATTATTTTTTTTATTTTTTTAATTTAATTTTTTTTAAAATTTCATCATTACAAGTCTTAAGGCCTATTTACAATAAAGAAAAATATTTATTTACTTGGAAAAGAAAATTAAATATATATTTATTGAGTTCTAATAAATATTTATTTTTTTTAAGCAAAAATTTCATTTATTTTATTTTATTTATTTTCAAGAAAAATATTTATTTGGTTTCAACGAATATTTATATTTGTTTCAAGCAAATATTGATTTATTTCAAGTAAATATATTTATTTTGTTCCAAAGATTATTTATTTGTTTCAAGCAAATATTTATTTGGTTTCAACGAATATTTATTTGGTTTCAACGAATATTTATTTGGTTTCAACGAATATTTATTTTTGTCAAGTAAATATTATTTATTTGGCACTAACATAACCTTAAATCGCAATTTTTACTACATGAGAGAAAAAAAAATTATAAAATAAAATATGATAATTTAATATATTAATTTTGTAATTTCGTCACCTCTTTGAAAACAGTTATTATAAAATTTTAATTTGTTTTTTACATGAATTCAATGTTTAATTATAAAACAATCTCATTAAGCGCATAATTATTTTGATTTAATTAAAATTTCCCTGCGATCTGAATATCTTACAGTAATTTATTATGTACATAATAAAATAATTCACACTAATTATTTTTAATTCAATTATTTAATATTTTTTTATTTATAATGCTAAAAAATCGTTAAATTTGAGTCTAATTACAATATCACGGCAGAAATATTTTATATTTTTTAATAAATTTAGTTTTTAAATTTTTATGTAATTTTCGTTTAGTTAATTTTATTAAATCAATTTTTAATTATATTTTTGTCAATTTTGTCAAGAGACGATAAAAAAAACTTCTTCCTTTTATGTATTTTTACTTTAAAAATTCCTTTAAGGTACTTCTACAATTCTGCTTACAGGAATATTTTTAATAAACTTTAGTGACCCATCCCTGTCATTGAAACTCTTGCGTTTTTCATTTTTTTAAAGTAATTTTGTAGTTTTTTCATTATTTTTATAACGAAAAAAAATAATATAAAGAAGAAATATTAAAAAAAGATTGTTTAAATAAATATAATTAAAAAAATTTTTTGTTATTTATATAAATTACTGTTTCATAATTTAAGTAATAATTTATAATTTATAGAAATTGTTGAAAAATTTTTTAAAATAAATTGTTTTCATTTTATTTTATTTATTAAATTTTTCATTTTTTATTTTATTTCATTCATAAATTGTTTATTTATTTAAAATTGTTTTTTTTTAAATTTTTTTGGACCTTTTTTGAATTTTTATATGAAAAAACTAATATAAAGAAGAGAAAATAAAAAAGTTCATATAAATAACGTTAAAATTTTTTTTAAATAAATAAATAAATTAATAAATAAATAAAATAATAAATTAATTATTTAACAAATTTTTTTTTCAATTATTAAATAAAATAAACAAATAACAATACAATATTGGAAAAAAATTCTTTAAAAATAAAAAGTACTGATTTATTTTAAGCAAAATTTTTTTTCCCGACAAAAGACAAAAAATAGAAAATGATTCTATTTTTATATATATATATATATAGTATATGAAATTTCTCAGTGGTGACGTTAATTTTTAGTCAGCCAAGTGTCTGTTACACTTTTCTCTCACGTCTACAAGTGGAATATACCGCAATGAGTCAGACGCGTCTCAAATTAATGCATCGCCCTCCCCCCTCCCCCTCCTCTCTCCCTCAAACTCTTACGTAGAACAGTAAAAGTGTATGTTAAAAATAGTTTCCCTATTCATAAAGTATTACACATTTGGCGTAACAGTTTATTATTCTTCTTACGAAACAATCAAAATTTTTTTAACCGTTTAAAAAAAAAAAAAAAAAAAAATTAACGAAATAACTTTAAATAATAATAATAATAATTACAATAATCTTAACAATAACAATAACAATAATAATAAAATAATTATAATAATTTTATAATAATTATTTTTTATTATTTTTAATCATAATTATATTCTACTTACGGACAATATTATTATTATTTATATTATTATTTATTCACTTTCATATTATATAAAAAAATATTTCTTTCCTTAATCAATAATTTTTTTAAATTAATTTAATATTTTCAATTATTATATTCAATTATATATCAACATTTTTAAATATTTATTTAAATTAATAATATATAATTATATACGAAGAGGCTTGGCCCCGTTTATAAATTAATAAATAATAATTAACTAAATTAAATTAATTACAAAATTTAATTAAAAAAAAAAATAATAAAATAATTACGAATAATAAAAAATTTGAATAAAACTTACCGCATTTGAAGCACATTTTGTGCCATTTGAGTCCACCAGCGACACGTTCCTCCGCGGCGTAAACGGATTTGCCGCATTTCGGGCATTTTGGATGTTCGACTGGTTTGAAAGGCATTTTGTTTTATACTGAAAATATGAAAAATTTTATATTAATTCACAAAATAAAAATATATTTACAATGAAATTTAAATTTGGAGAAAAAGGAAAAAAAAATCTTTTTATAAGTTTTTATATAAGAAGCTGCGTCATTGCACCGATTTTCATTTACCGAATTTTTTAATTTTAAAAATTTATATTTTTTCTTAAAAATTAGAAATTTAAATTTAAAAATTAAACGGCACGCATTTGAAAAGTATTTTCTAATTCCCCCCTCCCGAGCTTGTTTATTTAAAAAAATTTTCTTTTTACTCCCAATTTTGAAGTTAGATTTTTAAACCTCACTTTTTTGAAAGAGGAAATTCTTTTTATTTAAAAAGTACCTATTTTTAAATATTTTTCATTTAAATTAATAATATTATTAATATTTGTATTATTCGTATCACAAAAATTATAAAAATAAGATAAAATTATAATATTATATTAATTAATATTAACAATATTCATTAACAATTTTATTATTATTAAATAAATTATTAAATTATTATTAAATTTTATTTATTTTTTATTTGTATTACAAAATTATAAAAATAAGATAAAATTATAATATTAATATTAATTATTAATTAAGTTTAATTATTATTTTTTAGTTTTACTGATTTAAATTCCAACCCCCCCCCCCCACTTAAAAACAGAAGTTATTAAATAAAAGTTTAATTACAATGCAAACTATGATTTTTTGCCACTAGACGTGTGAATACACCTTTAGAATACTTCTGCAAATTTTGCTGTACATGTGAATTGGTCCTAATGTTATTAGGGGATTTCCATTGAAAACAATTGGAAATTGATCCGCTTTGTTATAATATTAATAAAAAAAAGTCAGTTTCAAGAAAATAGGATTAGTGATAAGAGGGGGGAGAGGCAGGGAGGAGAATGTAAACAGAATCGGCATCTTAGTCGTTAACCGGATTCTATTTCCGTAATCAGCGGTCAAATGTCGAAAAAGTGGCAAATGGAGAAGGCCTGGAAAAGAGGGAAGTACAGGTTCTATATCCGTGCAGGCGTAGGCCGCTTCATCTTCAGGAACCCAGCGACGCCGTATTAGGAAAGGCAAGTTCTAGACGAAGGCGCCTCGTCGCTTTTCCTCTCCCTTCTTTTTTCTCTCTCTCACTCACTCTTTCTCTCCTTCATTCTCCACGTTCCGCCTTCTTCAATACATATATATATATATACATTCTCAACACCCTCTCTTTCACTCACTCACTCCCCCCCACCCTAACTTATCCCTTATGCCTCTCCCACACCTCCCACCTCATTCAACATCGACACCCAAAGAAGAACCGGCACTTTAACCTTCCTCGAATTGAACCACACATTCTATTCTTAACACTTTTAGTTTAAAAAATTTTTCTTTTACTATCCCCTTAATAATGAGCTGAAGAAATCGAAAAAAAATATTTTAACACAAAAAAAATCGTTTTCGAGTCTAAAAAAATTTATTTGTTGAAAATGAATTGAGGGTTAATAATAATTGTTTATTAACATTCAATTTATTTTGAATGTTTGTAGTTGAACATGAAAAACTGTCTTTTTTAATTGTCCCACTATATTTCACTTTTATTTACCTACTGTGCTTTGGAATTTTAAAAATTTGTTGGATTGTTATTTTGAAGTGTGAAACGGGCCTAAGGTACTTGGTAAAACTATCTTTGACAGTTTTTGGTTGTGTGACATGGACTGTCTTTAAGGAACTTCTACAATAAGTGTAAAAATTACCTGCCGAATGGAAACAAATTGGAAAAAATATGGATTTAGTTCTTTCTTAAGGAACTTCTACAATAAAGGCAAAATCATCAGGATTGAAAAATAAAAATTATTTTCTTTCTTTTGCTTAAAATCGACAAATATTTTTTCTCGAAAGTTTTCAGCTTCTTGATAGAGGAGAAATGTTAAGGTTCGTTTGCAATAGTACAAGTATAGGGATCGCATTTGTATTATTGTAGATGGACCTTTAGACTTTTTCTCTGTCAAGAAGATAATAAATAATAAAAATAATAACAATAATAAAAAATAGTAAATAAATAAATAATAATAATAATAAATAGTAAATAAATAATAATAATAACAATACTAAATACTAAATAAATAAAAATAATAAATAGTAAATAAATAATAATAAATAATAATACTAAATACTAAATAAATAAAAAATTATTTGGAGATTGATATTCGACGATTTTGAAATCGAAAAGAAAAATAGAAAAAGAAAGACAAAATAATGGTTATTACACATAACGTATGAACGCTACCTTATGAACATGTGATTCCCCTACAGGGTTGGGTCGCTACCTAAAAGGTGAGTAAAACATATTGCAATTCGAATAAATACTAAAATTGAAACATTTTTTGTTTTACTAAAATGGAAAAAGCTATTAACTACAGATACATTCCCAGCCCTGCTATTCTAACCTTGAACCACTATTGGCATTGCTTGACAAAATACAAAGTATTTCCTTTACAAATTGATTAAAAATAAACAATTTTTTCTTGAGAAAAAAATTTAAATCATTTTGAATTCATTTTATCTTTTTTTAATAATTATAATTAAAATTATTATATATTTAAAAGAATGTATCACTTGGTAAACATTATATAATTCGAAATTAAAGGAATTTTAAAATTATAATTTAATTATAATTATTATAATTTAATTATAATAATTACAATTTAATTATTATATTTATAATTTAATCATTATCATTTTAATTGACTGAATAATTGAGTAAATTTTCTTTTATAAAAACTTTTAAACAATTGCATACGAAAATGTCAGGGTTGGGAAGGACTATTGCCTGTAAATTTACCTACTCAACCCTTGCAGATAAATGAACTTCTCAACTCGGGTAATCACTCAACTCTATTAGTTAATTTATCTACACAACCCTTCCAGTTAAATGAACTACTCAACCCTGCTTGTAACAGCTAAAGCCTAACGCAGAATAAAAAAGTAACGTGAACGTAAGCATGCGATAGAAAAGGACAGACCAACTTCTGTCCTTTTCTATCTCATGCTTGCGTTCGCTTCCCGTTTTATTCTGCTCAGGCCTTAAGTTAACAAATGTGCCATTTTTTAGCGAACTACCCAACCTTGCTTATTGAAATTTCTGAAAACTGCATCCAACATGGTTGGGCAGTTAGCAAAAAAATTTAAAAAATCCTTCAGCAAGGTTGGGCAGTTAACGAAAAAAAAATAATTAAATTTAAAAATATAATTTTTTATGTAAAAAAAATTAAAAATCACTAGTGAACAACAAAAGAATACAAATTCTATTAAAAAAATTCCATTTCCAGAACTAATTTAAAATAGAATATCTGCTGTATTTTTTTTAGTTTTATTCTCGACATCCAATCAAATTGACACATTTAATTAATTTTGCCTTGTTAACAATTTGGATGAAAAAAATTTCTGCTATCAGAAGATAAAAATTCAAAAATTTCCAATAATTTTTCCACTTTTTTTCTCAGCCAATAAAAAAAAAAAATTCTAGTACTTTTTCACCAACAATCAGAAGAAACATAATTTTCTAGTTACTTTTTTTTAGCCAATCAGAATAGAGAAAATTTTCTAGTACTTTTTTTAGCCAATCAGAATAGAGGAAATTGTCTGGTACTTTTTTTAGCCAATAAGAATAGAGAAAATTGTCTGGTACTTTTTTTAGCCAATAAGAATAAAGAAAATTGTCTGGTACTTTTTTTAGCCAATAAGAATAGAGAAAATTGTCTAGTACTTTTTTTAGCCAATCAGAATAGAGAAAATTTTCTAGTATTTTTTCAGCCAATCAAAATTAGCAAAATTTACAGAACTCGAGAAATTGTTTAAATTTTAAAAAGAAAATTGAAAAATATTTATTTTTTGCCAAAAAGTATCTCAACATACTTAAACATTTATATTTTATAATTTTTAGAAACATTTCCAAGACTTGAAAAAAAATTGTTCAAAATATGGAAATTTAATTTTTTTTTTTTTATATATAAAAATATCAAGAGAGAAAGTTTTAACTTTTTTGAGAGGAAATTATTTTTAAAGTAGAAAAATTTTTGGTAATTTTTTTGCCTTTTTGAAAATTGGGGCAAAATTTGAAAACTATCGTTTCATTTAGTTAACTTTCTTTAAAAATTTTTTTTATTAATTTTAATTTGTTTTTTTAATTAGAAAATTAACAGGAAAAGTTTACAATTTTTAAGTCGAAACTTTTGAAAATATGTAAAATATTTAACAAACTGAAAAACTAGGTCTGACAAAACTAACCTCAAAAATACTTATCTCTTGTTAAATATTATTATTTAACCTCAAAAATATTTAACTCTTGTTAGGTATTTATATTTAACCTAAAAATACTTAACTCATGTTCAGTATTTTTGAGTTTTTTGAGGAGAATACTTGGTAATTATTACCGATAAAATACTCGAAAAAGTATTTGAACTAAAATCCAGCACATTTGATAATTCTTTTGTCTTTTTTTTTAACAGAAAGAATTTTGATCAGAAAACTTGTACCCACATTAAAGATTTCCATTTTTTTTTTTTTTTTGAGGTTATCCTCCACTTGGCATTTTCGTTGCCGCCTGACGAACATTCGCGTTAATATTTCGCACATTTTATTACTGGAACATTTCAATCTCGAGGGAGGTTAAAAACTTGTATTTTCGTTTTAATGACCAGAGTAAACCAGAGTAAACCAGAGTGACGAGAAGGGAATTAAAAAACCACCCATCCCTCATTATAAGTGCGCGACGCAGCTTCACACTCGCTCGGTAAATGAGGCACACAATTCACATTTTTCAAAATTATATAAAATATCACTTCGAACATTTTTATTATGTGACACAATTTTTTTTTTTTGACACTATGAAAAAGTTTTTTTTTCTCTTTTTTTTTTTTTACTTTTCTCCATTGATCAGGTGTACTCACCACTTATTGTGTGTATATCGATCGAAGGCGGAAAAAAAGAGACGGGGTGGTTCTCGTAGAAGGTGATTTCTTTTAAAGGGAAAACACCGCACAATCTACACCGCACTAATACTGGATTCGAATGGCCCTCACGGTGGCGGGCACGTCCTAGTCATACAGAGGTTTGCACACGGCACGTGCATCGGAACGTCAGTGATGTTGGTGGCGATGGCGGGGAGATGCGTCTCAGCCATTCTGCAATGGATTTTCATGGGGGATTTTAGGGGAAGTACGGGGGGCAAGGTGGGTTTATTGTAGAGGGGCCTCGGGGGGATTTCCCCGTCGCAAAGAAGAAGAAGAAGAAGAAGAAGAAAAAGGAGCAACTGTGCGGCTGGTAATAGGGAAAGCTACGTGTGGGCGACTGGTACTTTACTCCATACGAAAATATTCGAGGAAGGGGACTTCCCTTTTGAACTCAACCTCTCTCGTGTCATGAATCAAGTCTTCTTTTCTCTCTTTCTTCTTCCTTCTTTCTTTCTTCCTTCCTTCTTCCTCTTGTTACATTAATTAAACCTAGTAACAATTTTAACCTAATTAATTATTAAAAGGCTCGCAACCAGTGAAAGTATTTAAAAATACGGACTTCACTATCTAAATTTGAAATTAGTAAAAATACTTTAAAATCTTTATTAATTTGAATTAGTGACTGATTTTTTGCTTTTAAATTAGTAATTACTAATTAGTATTAATTAGTATTATTAGTAAAATACTAATTACTAATTAGTATTAATTAGTATTATTAGTAAAATACTATTTACTAATTAGTATTTCCTAATAAATAGTCATTTCTACTAATTTATTAGTAAAATTCACTAATTCAAAGTGACTGACTTTTTTACTTTTAAATTAGTAAATTTTACTAATAAATAATTCATTTCTACGAATTTATTAGTAAAATTCACTAATTCAAAAGCAAAAAGTCAGTCACTAATTTAAATTAGTAAACCTTTCTACAAATTCAAATTTAGAGAGTAAGGAACAAAAATAAAAAAATACTGACCAATTACGGCAATTACTGTCAAAAATATAACCGAAATTTCAATTATTCGTAAATTCTTCAATTAAATATACAATTAGAAAATAAAAACTTCAAATAATTTCAAAAAAGTAATATTCAATTTTTTCTTAAAATATTCAATTCCCATAAAGAATTTAATCAACAAATTTTTTTAATAATTTAATTGTATCGACGAATTTTAATAAAAATTATTAAAAATAATTACATTTTTCGAGAAATTCAATTAAAATTGTATTAAAAATTATTAAATTCTTAAGAATTATTTTATCAAAGAATATTATTTATTTTCAGAAGAATTCTATTTTTATAAGAAAATAATTGAATTTTTTTTTTTTTTTTGGGGAATTTTCTCAAAATTGAAGAAAATAATTTTTTTTATGAAAATAATTATTAAATTCTTGTGGCTAATTTTTATTGTTTATGGAAATAATTAAATTTTTCAAGAAAAACTTTACTTCGTAAGAAACTAATTGATTTTCTGTGACAATTTTTTTTTATGAAAATAATTGAATTCTTCAAAAAAATTTTACTTTGTAAGAAAATAATTGAATTTTTCAGAAGAATTCTATTTTTATAGGAAAATAATTGAATTTTTCACAAGAATTCTATTTTTATAAGAAAATAATTGAATTTCTGTGACAATTTTTTTTTTGTTATGAAAATAATTGAATTCTTCAAAAAAATTTTACTTTTTAAGAAAATAATTGAATTTTTCAGAAGAATTCTATTTTTATAGGAAAATAATTGAATTTTTCACAAGAATTCTATTTTTATAAGAAAATAATTGAATTTCTGTGACAATTTTTTTTTTGTTATGAAAATAATTGAATTCTTCAAAAAAATTTTACTTTTTAAGAAAATAATTGAATTTTTCAGAAGAATTCTATTTTTATGAGAAAATAATTGAATTTTTATGGAGAATTTTTTCAAGATTGAAGAAAATAATTGAATTTCTGTGACAATTTTGTTTTATGAAAATAATTGAATTCTTGTGGATAATTCTATTGTAAATGATTGAATTCTTTAGAGGAAAATTTTACTTTGTAAGAAAATAATTGAATTTTTCAGAAGAATTCTATTTTCATAAGAAAATAATTGAATTCTTGCGAAAAATTTTCTTTTGTTTATAAAAATAATTGAATTCTTTAGAAATATTTTATCAAAATTGTATAGAAAATAATTAAATTCTTGAGAAGAATTTTATTAAAATCTAAAAGAATAATTGAATTATTTCAAAAAAAATTAATTAAAATTGTATTTAAAATAATTGATTATACCTTCGAACAATTTTATTTAATTAAATATTTGAAAATAATTGAATTCTTCCAATGAATTTAAAAAAAAAAACACTTTTTTAAATAATTGATTTTTTCGAGAAATTGAAATTAATTTTTTAAGAATAATTACAATTTTGATATTCTTGAAAATAATAGAATTCTTCAAAAGAATTTTATAAACATTGTTTTTAAATAATTAATTTTATTTTGAAACATAATAAATCTTATATGAAAATTTTATTTTAAATAATTGAATTCTTGTGAAAATCTTTATTTATCAAAATAATTGAATTTTTCCCAATTATTTCCATATTATAATTATAATAAATATTAATATTCTCAAAATAATAAAACAAACGAAAAATAATAAAACATACAAAAAGTATTGTTAATCGTGTAATTCAATTAGTATTATTAATTAAAGTACAGATTTTCTCGAATTCATTATATGATAATACATTGTGTAATTGGATAGATTCCAAAAAGTCATCTTGTTATTGTAGCGAAACTCGCGATGACTAATCTCGCAACGTATTTGTAGATTTTCCGTAATATTTTGGCATTAAAAAAGGAAGTAATGTCTGATGTATTCGTGACATTAATTTTCTTCAAAAAAAAAACTATTTGTCAAAATTTCATATTTACAGTTCAATAAATTTCTTTTAATAATATAATAAAAAGTAGAACAAGAAAGAATATGGTAACGTGACATAAATTCCAATAATAACAATAATAGTAAAATAGTCGGGGGTTCCCCTGTCTGGTTACATGCCACAATATATCAAATTTACTATAAACTAGAAAATTTTTTTTCATTTGCTTTTTTTTTTTAATTTCTCCAATTTGGTTCTATTTTTTAGAAATATTACCAAATATATCTAAATTACAATTTAATTCACTTTTTTATATTTTGCCACAAAAATTTTGTGTTTAAAATTTATAAATTTACCGCCATTTTCATGTCCCTTCCGTCCCTATAGGGGCCGTTCATAAACTACGTCACACTATTTTGCATAATTTTTCCACCCCCCCCCCCTACAAACGTCACAAATTTTACTTGCTTTAGCGCCATTTTTTCTACAGAACGTCACAAAAAATGAATTCCACCCCCCCCCTCTAAGGCGTGACGTAGTTTATGGACGGCCCCATACCATTTTTATGTATATGTACACCGAAATGCATATGTATATACTGTCCTTCCGATTTGACGAAATTTTCAAAAGTCGTGTCATTTCTATCAAATATTCTTAGTTCGTGACGTACGAATGCTGATTCATACGTCATGAACTAAAAAAATTTTATAGAAATGACTCGACTTTTGAAAATACCGTTAGACCAAAAGGACTTAGGCCGTGTCTACAATGAACTCCTTATCAATCTAAAATAACAAAAAAAATTAAATTCCCTTATATTTACAACCCAAGGAGCTCATTTTAAAAACCAACCTTATGATTCAATTGAAAATCTATTGAAACTATTGAAAATCTATTGAAAATCTATTGAAAATCTATTGAAAATCTATTGAAAATCTATTGAAAATCTATTAAAAGTCTATTAAAAATCTATTAAAAATCTATTAAAAAAGTCTATTAAAAAATCTATTGAAAAATCTACGATTAAAAAAAAATTCGACTACAAATAAAATGTGTTGAAAATAAAAATTTGAACCATTATGGTAAATTTGTTTACATAGTTGTGAGTTAACACTTTAAAATTCTAGAGTGGGAAGAGGGGAGGGGGGGATATAAGCGACATTGAAGAATAGTTGGTAGCTATATGAAACATTCACAAGACATATAATACACAAAATGTGATGAAAACAAGTTGGAGAGAGAGGTTAGAGAAGAGGTGTAGTGATGGAATGGGGGGAGGAGGGTGAGAGATACGCTTGTCGTGTGCAGACATGAAGAAGTGAGATATGCGTCGTTAAAGATAAACATCTGAAAGAGAAGAGACATAATCATGGAAAGGGAGGAGATTCATAGTCGTACTGTGCGCTAAGGAACACTCATCGACTATTAATAGTTTCTGTGCTTAAATTTTTATTTTTAGAAAAACGATTCGTTTATTGTACACATTATGTATATATATATGATAACATATTGATATGCGCACATCAATTTATATACATATATATGTAATAATACAAACATACCATGAAAAAAATAAATAAATTAATAAATAAATAAAATAATTAATAATTAATTAATAATTAATTAATTATTAATTAATTAATTAATTAATTAATTAATTAATTAATTAATTAATTAATTAATTAATTTCTTAAAAATTAGATTTAAATGATTTATTTGTCGAGTGAAGGGCAATAAGATATTTTAAGCAGTGTTAAAATCTGAGATTTAGTTAAACTTTTTACTGATATTTTTGAATTGTTTTTTTATCTTATTTTTTTCATAAATTAAAAAAATTATTTTTTCTTCATTGACCCTATAAGGATCGGTTTTCAAAATTCAAAATGGCGAACGATGTTTTAATATTCATTGAATTTGCTTAAAAATTACTACTCGGGTGTTTTTCGGGTCACTGATTACAAATCCTATGTCCTTTTTAAAAAATTCAAAATGGCGGATCCAATATGGCGGAAATATTATTTTTAATTAATAGATTTTTATGAAACTTGATTTCTCGAGGTTTCAAGGGTCGCTAATTACGAATATAATGTCAGATTTTCGAAATTCAAAATGGCGGATCCAATATGGCGGCTAAATTTTTTAATATTAATTAAATTTACTTAAAAATTGTTACTCGGGGATTTTTAGGGTCACTGTTTACAAATCCGATGTTCTTTTTAAAAAAAAATT